TACATTAGAAAGATCATACACCATGACCAAATAGGATTTATTCTGGGGATGCAAGGATAGTACAATATCCACAAATCAATAAATGTGATACACCACATAAACAAACTTAGAGACACAAACCATATAATCATATCCATTAATGCAGAAAAAGTATTAGACAAAATTCAACACCCTTTCTCGATAAAAACTCTCAGCAAGGTAGGAATAGAAGGATCATACCTCAACATAATAAAAGCCATATATGACAAACCTACAGCCAACATCATACTCAATGGACAAAAACTAAAACCATTTTACCTAAGAACAGGAACAAGACAGGATGCCCATTCTCACCATTCCTGTTTGACATAACACTTGGAGTACTAGCCATTGTGACCAGACAAGAAGGAATAAAAGGCATCCAAATTGGAAAGAAGAAGTAAGTAAAACTGTCCTTATTCGCAGATGACATGATATACATAGAAAACCTCAAAGACTCCATCAAAAATTATTAGACTTAATAAATGAATTTGGCGCCAAAACCAGTTTGGCTCAGTGGTAGAGCGTTGGTCTGCGGACTGAAAGGTCCCGGGTTCGATTCCGGTCAAGGACATGTACTTTGGTTGTGGGCACATCCCTGGCAGGGGGTGTGCAAGAGGCAGCTGGTCGATGTTTCTCTCTCATCAACATTTCTAGCTCTCTATCTCTCTCCCTTCCTCTCTGTAAGAAATCAATAAAATATATTTTAAAAATAAATAAGTAAATAAAATAAATGAATTTGGCAATGTAGCAGGTACAAAATTAATATCCAGAAGTCTATGGCTTTTCTATACACCAATAATGAACTCACAGAAATATAAATTTAAAAAGCAACCCCAGCCCTAACTGGTTTGGCTAGGTGGATAGAGTGTCGACCTGCAGAATGAAGGGTCCCGGGTTCAATTCCAGTCAAGGGCATATACCTTGGTTGTGGGCACATCCTCAGTAGGCGGTGTGCAGGAGGCAGTTGATCGATGTTTCTCTCTCATCTATGTTTCTAGCTCTCTATCCCTTTTCCTTCCTCATTTTTAAAAAAGGAATCCCATTTACCGTTACAATAAAAAATTAAGATACCTAGGAATAAACTTAACCAAAAAGACAAAGGATCTGTACTCAGAAAATTTCAGAATACTAAAAAAAGAGATAGAGGAAGACATGAACAAATGGAAGAGTATACCATGTTCATGGATTGGTAGACTCAACATCATTAAAATGTCCATAATACCAAAAGCAATCTATAAATTTAATGCAATCCCCATAAAAATACCAATGGCATACTTCAAACACCTAGAATAAATTCTCCAAAAATTCATCTGGAATAAAAAAGACCTCGAGTAGCTGCAGCAATCTTGAAAAAGAAGAACAATGTTGGAGGGATCACAATACCAAATATCAAGCTATACTACAAAGCCACTGTTCTCAAAACTGCCTGATACTGGCACAAGAACAGACATATAGACCAATGGAACAGAACAGAGAACCCAGAAATCAAGCCAGTATGCTCAATTAATATTTGACAAAGGAGGCAAGAGCATACAATGGAGACAAGACAGTCTCTTCAATAAATGGTGTTGGGAAAACTGGACAAATACTTTCAAAAAAGGAAGGAAGGAAGGAAGGAAGGAAGGAAGGAAGGAAGGAAGGAAGGAAGGAAGGAAGGAAGGAAGGAAGGAAGGAAGGAAGGAAGGGAAGGAAAGAAATTAGACAAGAAATTAGACCATCAACTTGCACCATACTAAAAAATAAACTCAAAATGGATAAATGACTTAAACCTAAGATGGGAAACCATAAAAATATTAGAAGAATCCATAGGCAGAAAAATAGCAGACATTTGTTGTAGCAATGTCTTTACCGATACAGCTCCTAAGGCATTGGAAACTAAGGAGAAAATAAACAAATGGGACTATACCAAAATAAAAAGTTTTTTTCACAGCAAAAGAAAGCATCATCATCATCATCAACAACAACAACAAAAACACAAGAAAGCTCACTGCATGGGAGAATATATTTGCCAATGTTATCTTCGATAAGGGTTTAATCTCCAACATTTACAGGGAACTCATACAACTTAATCAAAGAAGGTAAACAATCCAATCAAAAAATAGTCAAAGGATCTAAATAGACTTTTTGAAAGAGGACATTCAGAAAACCAAGAGACATATAAAAACTGGTCAAAGTCACTAATCATCTGAAGGATGCAAATCAAAACAACAATGAGGTACTACCTCACACTGAGAATGGCTACCATCAATAAATAACAAATGACAAGTGCTGGCGAGGATGTGGAGAAAAAGGAACCCTCCTTACTGCTGGTTGGAATGCAGACTGGTGCAGTCACTATGGAAAACAGTATGGCATTTCCTAAAAAAATTAAAGATGGAACTGCCATTTGACCCAGTAATACCACTTCTAGGAATATATCCAAAAAAAAACAAACAAAAAAAACCAGAAACACCAATCAGAAAGAATATATGCACCCCTATGTTCATAGCAGCACAATTTACAATAGCTAAGATTTGGAAACAACCTAAATGTCCATCAGCAGGTGAGGGGATTAGAAAACTATGGTATATCTATACAATGGAATACTACACTGCTGTAAAAAAGAAGTAATTCTTACCATTTGCAACAGCATGGATGGAACTAGAGAGCATTATGCTAAGTGAAATAAGCCAGGCAGTGAAAGATAAATACCACATGATCTCACTCATTTATGGAATATAAAGAACATGATAAACTGTAAAATAGAGGCAAAGAAGCATGGAACAGACTATCAAATTATAGGGGGACGGTAGGGGAAGCTTGGGGGAGGTAAGAGATCAAACGAAGGACTTGTATACATGCATATAACACAACCAATACTGGGGTGCGGGGTGTGAGGGCAAGTACCAGGGTGTAAAAAAGGCCAGGGGGAGGTCAATGGGAGAAAAAAAAGGAGACATACATACAATAGGTCCTTCGGTTACATGGGAGATCTATTCCTATGGTGTAACACAATTTTCATCGTAAGTCAGAACCCACCTACATAAGCACCCACCGGGTAGTGGGACATCCCTCTCACAATCCAGGACTGCTGGCTTCCAACTGATCACCTGCTTGCCTTCCTGAATGTCCCTCACCATTTCTGTTTGCCAGCCTGATCACCCTCTATCTACTCCCATGCCAGCTTAATTGATGTCTAACTGTTTCCCTGCCAGCCTGTTTGCCTCTGACTTCCCTCCTCTGATGGCCCGGTCACCCCCAACTGCCCTCCCTTGCAGGCCTGGTGCCTCCTATCTGCCCTCCCCTGCTAGCCATCTTGTGGTGGCCATCTTGTGTCCACATGGGGGCAGGATCTTTGACCACATGGGGGCAGCTATCTTGTGTGTTGGAGTAATGGCCAATCTGCATATTATTCTTTTATTAGATAGGATGGGAGATGGCGATCTAACCACAAAACAACGTACATCAAGTCCAATGTAACCCGAAGACTGCCTGTACTATTATTTGTAATACCTTAAACAGTAAAATAAATAAATAAAAAATTATCTCCTTGAGGAAACTGTAGTGAGCTACTTTTTTGACTTGGCCTGCCTTTGAGCCTTGTCCTCAAGAGCAACAATCCTGTTAGTAAGTTGTTCTCCAGAAGCTCCCACCCTCAATATCTGACCATCCTGGATCTCATCAGGCTTCTCATCCAGATGTGTCTGATCACCCTGCCTACCTTCAGCAAGAATACTGTTGGGACAGTTTAGCCAGAATGTTTCCTCTGAGCAATTTTTCCATTCACTGACCCCCACACTGATACTTTGCTATAAATTCCTACTTTTCCTTGTTGTATTCAGAATTAAGCCCAGTTTTATACTGAGGCCTCTCTTCCCTTCTTGCAATAACTTTTCTGAATAAAATGTTCTTACCATTTTAATACATTAAGTGAGTTTTAACAGGGAGCAAAATCACATGGGTTGAGACTGGCCATAAACTATATAAAATAGATAGAGGCATTTTTTTGTGCAGAAATTGGGAAGACAGAGAAGGCAGTGCAGCCTGGCAGAGAATGGCCAAAGCAAAGGCCTTCAGAATGGAATGTGGGGCAGTGGGAGATCAATGAAGACACTTGGATACTGAATAAGGAAATGGGTTATTACCTGCTGGATTTCACACTGTTTAAAGCCTAGAATTTTTCCCACAGAAGAATCTACCCCAGAGACCCAATATATTAAACTGACTAAAGTTGAGATGGTCTGGCCCCATGGTCGGCAAATTGCTGAGCCACATGTGGCTCTTTGGTCCCCTGAGTGTGGCTCTTCCGCAAAATACCACAGCCTGGGCTAGTCTATTTTGAGTAAGTGGCATTAGAAGTTTAAGTTTAAAAAATTTGGCTCTCAAAAGAAATTTCAATCATTGTACTGTTGATATTTGGCTCTGTTGACTAATGAGCTTGCCGACCACTGGTCCGGCCAATGACTGGGATTAAACCCCTCACACCGAACACAATGCGGTTGCCTTTGGGCATTGCTGAACACTTGAAGGAGCAACATTTAAACCAGAGCTGTGAATAATGCACTTGGACCGATAGGATAGCCATGGTATCTAAGGAGGGAGGACAGAACCACAGTGTACAAGACAGAGTGAAAGCAGGGACAGGGAGCCAAAGCAGAAGGGGACACAGGGAATTTGCTGCATTTCTCCAGCTATCCTTCTCCCATACCAGGGCCTTAGGGATTCTGAGTCAACATGTGGAAACTCAATGCCTCCACTTATCAGTGTTCCTTTCCCAGTCTTCCCTTAAACTGTCCAAACTACCTAATCCAAATCCTGGTTATACTGGCAAATTCGGTCTCTGTGTCCTGTGTTCCCTGCATACCAATGTACACAGACTGCCACAAACACCGTAATTAAGAAAAAGAAAACCCTGTGCACTGCATAAAAGTGGGCTGGCCACAGAACCAGCAACTCTCTAATGTCAGAGGTCACCATGCTTGTCTAATAAGGATACTCACGCCAGGAATGTCCAAAAGCTTTGACACCAGAAGAGGTAACTTCAGGGCTGCAACACTCCCAGTAACACCCACAAGAACATGGAACTGTCTCGCTACGAAGGGTTCAGCAGTTGGACATGAGGCCCGTGGTTCCATGTGGGATCTGGTGGCTTCAAGTCCTGGGAGCCTGCCAGAACTGGGCTCCATAAAGCTGTCAGGATTTGGGATCTAAAAGCAGAACAAGGGGTGCCCACTTCATTCATACATTCAAGCAAAATGTATTGAGCACCCTGTTAGACCCCCCCCCTCCCCCCAGCTGCTGGGGTTCCTTAGGGATCACCAGTCCCAGCTTCTGGGAGCATACAGTTTGATAAGAAGGCCAGACACCCTCACCACACATAGGTCAATTACAATGTAATGTGGCCAGCACTGTGAGGAAGGTTGACACCAGGAACTATGGCTACCAGTAGTAACTATCTGAGGAAAAATTAACATTCAAGTTGAGTCCTAAAAGACAAGTAAGTTTTCCAGAGAGAGAAGGAAATAACCTTGCAAGTTATTGATAGTGGAGCAATCTTACATAGATGAAAAGGCCTAAAGAAAGGTGGTAGGCTTGGTAAACAGGGAGTACTTAGTAGTGAAGCTAAAGTGTAATGGGGGTGGGGAGGTAAGGCTGTATAGTCAGGTCAAAGGCAGTATCAAGGGTGGTGAGGTCAAGGGTGAGTTTCCATTTTAGAAAGATGGTGCTGGTGACAGTGTGAAGGGGGTCCTGGTGGTGGTAAGATTGGAGGGGCAGGGTAAGGAGCTACTGTAGTGGGCCAGGCTGACTGACATGTTGGTGATTCCTACTATTCCCTGGCAGTAGATGGGACAGCCCAAGATTTACTACTAGGCCTCCTGAGCTATCTTTGCTAAGGACTCAAACTTATCTACCTTTCTAGAAAAGGTGGGGGTCAGGGAAAATTATATTTGAGGACTAGAAAGTGGATAAATTAACCAACATTTATTTGAAAGCAAGGTCAAATCAATTCAATCTGATAATTCCATGGAGGATGACAACTTGCAGGAGTTTTTTGTTTATACTCACAAAAGATCAAATCACAAACTAGTAAGCCTGCTACTCTCTATCCAGTTCCTGTTAGAACCACCTATTTGCATAGCCAAGGTAGCTTGGCTGTCTACACCTCATTTCCATGAGCTCTGAGTACTCATAAGGAACTCTTGAGCAGCAGAAAGAGTTGGCAGGTAGAGGTTACAGGGCTGAAGGCTGTGATTACTGAACCTTAAGCTCCCAGGGCACAAGCCATGGGCAGGTAAGCCACAGAAAGAAAACGGCAACTCCTCTGTCCTTTAGAGTAAAGAGCCTCAGTTTGCTGCAGGGTCCGAGTGTATAAACCTCCTAAGATGAGTTTCATTATGGCAGAGTTAAGTAAAGGTTTCAGGGAGCTGCCAATCACAATAAGGGCAGGTGTAGAGATAGAGAAAAGCCAGGGCTAAGAAGGGGATGGACAGGGTATGAGCCCAGCCGACGATAGGAATGATGAAGTGCTGGGGCCTAGGACCAAAGCAGAATGTAACTCAGGTGTGGATGGGCAGAGCACTTGAATCCTTTAGCCTAATGTCCAAGCCCCTCACTATTGGCTCCAGACTTTTGCTCTAGCCCCATCTCCCACCAGTCAACACACTCTACTCTCCTCAGTAATAATGAACCACTTGTCGCTTCCTAAAGTGTCACCTTGTCCCCAAACCCAAATTCATTAAAAGGAGTCTCATGGCCTGGCCGGCATGGCTCAGCAATGGAGTATCCACCTATGAACCAGGAGGTCCAGTTTGATTCCCAGTCAGGGCACAAGTCTGGGTTTTGGGCTAGATCCCAAGTGTGAGGTGTGCAGGAGGCAGCCAATCAATGATTTGCTTTATCACTGATGCTTCTCTCTCCCTCTCTCTCTCTCTCTCTCTCTCTCTCCCCCTTTCCCTTTCTCTCTAAAATTAATAAAAATATATTTTTTAAAAAGGAGTCTCATGGCCACAGGGGTACTTTAAACCCACTCCCCCAAGGAAAGGCAAGGAACTCTTCAGGGAGCACTCAAGACCTTGGCATTCAGACTAGTCTCACAAACCAGAGGCCAGCATAATTGACTTTACTGCATCTGTAATCTCATTAGGAGAAGCTCCTCAACATTGTATGTTGAGGAGATAGACAATATTCACATGCACAGGCTACTAGCAAGAGACAGTACTGCCAACTCTCAGCCACAAGGAGAAATGTGGAAATGGGAATCTCTCCTGCCCATTACCTGGCATGGGCCTCCAATTCTTCAAAAACAGCATGAAGTTTTTCTCTGACAAAATTTGGCCTCACTTTAATTTTTAAATTCCAGACAGTACTTTTAGGTGGACCTCTGGGATAACGGAAATATCTTAGGGCTCTCTCCTTTTTCTATTTCACCAAAAGATGGCCTGGAGACTCAGTGGGTGAGCATGGATTATGAACCAAGTCATGATTGGATTCCCCGTTAGGCCATATACCCGGTATGGTTGGGGGCTGGATCCCCAGTGTGGGGCCTAGAGAAAGTAGTGGATCAATGAGTCTCTTTCATTATTGATGTCTCTATCTCTCTACCTCCCCCTTCCTCTCTGAAATCAATAAAAATATATTTTAAAAAAAGACAGTAGTGTGTCCTTTCGGCAGTCCCTATTCCTTTTTGGAAGCAGGATCATGATTCCTTTTTTTTTTTTTTTTTTTTTTTTTTTTAAGGCAAATGGTAAGTGTGGGGAACTGACAGGGTCCCCATTTAAACCAGATTAAACAGCACTGGACTATCATCTAGCAGTGCAAAGAGGGGATGAGAACGCAAGATACAAATTCCCCACTTCAGGCTCTAGCCAGAAAGAGGTCCTTAATGCTCCGGCCCACGAGCACATATAGGAAAATTAAGTCCCCACAGGCTCCACAGTCCGTACATGCTGATCCACAGTGCAAGCTGAGCTTCACAGACAGATAGGAAAACGAGGTGGACGCGCACGCGCGCGCAGACACGCAGACACACACACACACACACACACACACACACACACACACACAGTGCAAGCTGAGCTTCACAGACAGATAGGAAAACGAGGTGGACGCGCACGCGCGCGCAGACACGCAGACACACGCAGACACACACACACACACACACACACACACACACACACACACACACACACACGAAAGTGAGGACATAGGCCCAGCCACAGAACCACTGTCGCAAGCGAAGCTTTTCCGGCCAGACCTCCCTCCTGTTCAAAAATCCAGTCTCCGACCCCTTACCCGCTCCCGTTTCCCAGTTCCTTTTGACTCCTCACCCTCGCCAGGGGCGTCTAGGGTAAACCCCAAATATTGCACTATCTCCGTCGGTTTAGAGCTGATTCTAATTGGCACACAACTTCACGTAAGCATCATCTGACAGCCTACGTGATCGCACAGCCTTCTGGGAGTTGTAGTCCATTTTTCTGCTTTGTGGTAGTTGTAGTCCACTTAAGGGACTGCAGCGGCCAAATCTTGGCTAATGGTTCTTGATTTTTCTGTTCTCACCTGGGCTTCGTCTAATTGCCCGGCCTCCTCACTCTACACTTCCATCCCACACATAGACACTGCTCAGCGTGGGGCATTTAATTTTGAATACTTAGCGAGCCTCTTCTATTTTAAGTACAAGGGTTACAGAGATAAATCAGACGCATCCCTGCTCTTGAGACAAGCAGGAACATAAGACATTACAGAATAAGGTCCCCCATGAAGAAACAGAGGGGCATAAACACAGAGGCAGGTAAGCCCTCTCAGAGGAGTCACTCGGGGTGAATCCTGAAGTCACTCGGGGTGAATCCTGAAAACAGCAGTCCATATGGTATGCATGACAACAGAAAGGCATCTGGAGCAAACAGGTGAAGGCAACTTTGCCCAGGAGGCTGCTCAGTCAGCTGCCAGTCTCCACCCTGAGAGCTGTGTGGGGTCCTCTGTGCTCTTCCCCTGCCCTTACCTGCAGGAACTATCTGGACCAAACCACCTCTCCCCCACTAATCCAGCCTTCTACTTCCTCCTGCGACCACCCTACCTCCACACCCCACAGCCCACAGGTGAGGCTCCACACAAGCCCAGATGAAAACACATGACACAGTAGGATACACAGGGCCAAATGTTCCCATTTATTATGGTTCATTCAGTTACCACAGACACTGGCTCAAGCAGGTCAACTGCCAGATGGAGAATGGTCTATGTCTCCCAGAAATAAGACTACAAAAACAGGTCACTGGATGCAAACCTGAGGATTCAAAAAACTGATCTGGGCTTTCCTCCTCCATCCCTCCCCTTCCCCCCCCTCTCCCCCCCCCCAATCTGCAGAGATGAATCTGTGCCCAGCCCCCACTTCGCATACTAGAACCTTCACCACAAAGTGCATAGCTGCCTGGAGATGCCAGCATCCGAGGGCCTGGACAAGCTCAGCCACACACAAGCAGCAGGCCTTCCCAAGGGCAGTCAGGCATGGTCACATAGGTCTTGGGCCAGGACATAGGAAAGGCAGGAAGAGAAGGATATTGACTAGAGGTGGTAACCAGCAGGTCCTGGATCCTCGGCTTGTAGCTGAACCACAGGTCTTCTGGAGCTACCACAGAGACTTAGAGAAAGGGAGCCAGAGGTCTGGGCTTGAACCTAGATGTAGTGTATTATGGGCTGTAACAAATGCTTTTTGGAGAGAAAGTGGTAGAGGAGAGAGCCAATCACACTCTGGCCCAAGCCTAAGGAACCATGAGAAAGAGAATTTCCCAGAGGCCCTGGCTCCGTTATAGGAAAATGAAGTACCTGGAGCTCAAAGCTCAGGATTGTAACTGGAAGCCCAGGTGCTGGGTTCCAATCTGGAGCCAGTCTGCAGTGGCCAAGCAGGGTTTGGTTCTTCAGGCCAAATACCCAGATAGGAGAAGGGAGTGTGGGAAATGAGCAGCTAATCCTTGAGTGAGAATCCACTCCCCTCCAGGCCTCAGAGAGCTAGGGTCTTTACCAGCAACATTCTCATAATGCTTGGAGTAGAATAGCCCTATAACCCTGAAATCATTGTCCTGGAAGAGAAAGGGGTCTGAAGGGTGAGGAAGAGCCAAGAACCAAGGCCAGTAGGCAGAAGGTAGCAAGTTATCTTGATGTGAAAAAACAAACAAAAGCCAGAGAGGCTCCCTTCCCACCAATACTAACCTGAAAAGATTGGCCCTTTGCTTCTTCCTGGGCCCTAAGTTCAAATGCCCAGAACTGCCATGACCAAGAGCAAGCTGGCAAGGAGAGTCATGCAGCCCTCTCAATGGGCCATGCCTGCCCTCTCCTCTGATCGTCCCTCCAGACCCAGCCCTCTGAGCCTATCCCTTCTACCAGAACCTCACAGAATAGCTACTACTGCCAAGAATCCAATGGTCAGTCACTCAGAGGCACCTAATACCTCCCGGCTTGAACCAGCCAGACCTCACCCAGGAAACAATAATTATTTACATGTCCTCTACTTCAGCTGTACCTTTGCCTGGATACCACCCAGTTCTTCAGGGAAGGCAGGGTAGGATGGCGGCATCAGGCCACAGCAGCTTGGGATTTAGGAAGAGCCTTAGGCAGAGGAGCTTGAGGTGTCTCTTGGAAGAGAAGCAGGGGAAGCAGGATAGGAAAAAGAGGAGCCTGCCTCTACATGCTTAGCTCTGAGAGTCAGGGAGATGACCCTGCAATGCCATTCCCTGGGAGTCAGGTGTCCAAAGGGCTCTGCATCAGTGTACCCTCCCACATCAGGCCTAAGGCTCAGCATTCTTATCTGCTTCTTTGATCTGGGAAGGGGTTCAGTCTCAGGATCAGATACTACTGCGACACTCAGCACTGGGGAAGCCAAAGAAAAGCCACATGGAGAAGAGAAAAATCCTGGGCAAGAGAATAGACCACAGGGAATGTGATAGCAGAAAGAGAGGAGGGGAAGGGAACTCAAATTAGGAGCAAGGAAAGATCCGCAGCCTGCCCCACTCTCCCACCCACTACCACCACTACCATGAATGCTAAATAGTATCACTTCCCAATAAAACAAAAAGTGGAAACATTTTTAACTCATAGCCCTGGGGTGGTGTGGAGGGTTTGGGGGTGGATAGACTCTTGCTGCTATGCCTCCTGTCCCATAAGGGGTCCTTGGGCCAAAGTCAGAGGGAGTAGCCAGATGGAAGGTGGGGGGCTGATTTAGTTCTAAACATACATCTAACACCACAACAGAAACCTCCACTGCACACTACTTTACATGGGACATGGACACAACTACTACCGCAACATGGGAGCTCCATTGCAGCCTATAGCTCTCAGAATGCTCAGAGCAAAATCCAAAGGGACAGGGGATATATATATATATAAATAATCTTTTTTTTTTCTTTTCTTTGTACAAAGGAAAGGAGAAAAGGGGGAGGAGAAAAGGAAATGAAGAACCCTGCTTGGTCACCACAACAGATTATGCGACTTGAGTCCCATCCCATCATCCCCCGCCCTGCCTCCCAGTAGGCTTGGCTGGCTCACATCTCATTAGAGTATGTGTAGTTGGGGGTGGCAGAATAGTGAGTCTGCGGCTGATTCATGGCACCCTGGGCCGCCCCCATGGCTGCATTCTGGGCTGCTTGTTGCACGTGTGGGTTCTTCCATGCCCCCGTGGTCCACTCCTCCTGAGCTTTGCTGAAACTTCCCCCACTGCCCCGGTAGAATTTATGAACCTGGAGGAGGAGGAGCACAAGGAAGAGTTAATCAAAGCTAGTCCCCCCCCTCCCACCTGTGCTCTGTGCATCAGAAGCAAAGTCTGCCAAGCCATTCCAGTTAGTCCCTTAGGAGACTTCTGGGTCATAGCCCCTTTCCAAAGCCACCCCCCTCTCACCCTTGAGGTAACCACGTACCATGCTGAGGGCAATAAAGGAAAAGACAGCCACAACTGTGAACATGATGGTGGGAATGAGCATCACGACCGCTGAGCCAACGTTTGTTCCAAAGAAGGAGATGGTGGCAATCCAGCCGCTGTAGGAAGAGGCCAGCTGTGAGGCTACCCAGCACGGTGAGGGGTACCCAAAGCTATCCCACTATGCACTAGAGCAAGGGACCGTCTCATTGTCACATGGAGGGACCATATTATTGGGTGCAAAGGAACCATCTTATTTATACCCAAAGGGCCTATGTCAGTGGTTTTCAGAAAGAGTCCTCCCCATGGCTCAGGAAATGAACTCCTTAGACATGATGCTTCCTTTCCTTGGGTTCCCCCATGATTTTAGACACTCCTCAGCCCCCAGAAACCACTGTAAGTTCTTCTTCTCAAATACTATGGCTCTGTCTACTCCACTAGCTTGAATCCTGTCATACTTTCTATAATTCATAGTGTCCTCCCAGGCCAGGCAGCTTAGCATATGGAGGTAAGCAAAAGACATAACAAGGTGCTACCTACACTAGCCATGGGTCAGTCCCAGATACCTCAATCTCTTACCAGATCCCCCAGCCTGGGATGCCCACAGCCTGGATGATGCTGAGGACCAGCTGGGCCATGAAGGTGAAGAAGAATGCCATGAAGCTAAAGGAGCTGTCAGTCCTGCAACAAAGGAGATAGCTCCCATCAGCTGGGCAGAGGGTCAGGGATTCCCTGCCTTCAAGGCCCCCAAGCCCTTCCAAGTTTAAGTGAGTACACAATAGACAGAGGATAGTCAAAAGCCTTAAATGAGAGGCCAAAATGGGACAGTGTTAAACTATGGATCTTTGCAGGATTCCATGTTACGTCTGTGTGTGCAGCATTAGATAGGGAAACATCTCTTCATGAATGGACTACCCACTGGTACATTGGTTTTTGGCCCAACTTGCACAAAAATAGATGGGCCCATTGTGGCTGGAAAAAATAACACATTGTCAAGAGGATGGACAATTCCATTGGCACTAATACTGCTAGCTCCACTGGCACATGGGTGGATGATCCCATATGCTTAGAGACAGAAAGTCCCACTGTTACTAAAATTGATACCCTTTTGGCACCAAGACAGTAATTTAATTGGCACATAGTTAGATAGTCTGGATGGCAAAGACATTTGAGGCACCAGAGATACTACAATGGCACCAAGACAGATAGCCTTGTTGGTACAATAGTCCAATTGGCACAAAGATTGAAAATTCTATTTGACACAAAGTAGACATCCATTGGCACCAAGATAGCTAGCCCAACTGATACCTGGATGTGTTGTCTCTTAGGTACAGAGTTGGATGACCTCATTAACACATAAATAGTATCACTAGAATATGGATGGCTAGTTCTACTGGTACATAGATAGATGGTTCACTTGGCACTAAATCAGCTCGCCCTATGTGAGGGAGCATCTTCACCAAGACAGGTAGCCCCATTGGCAACATTTAACATGCAGCTGCCTGGGGAAGGAAAAACTACAATAGGCCTGGTCTCTACTCTAGGTTGCCCATACCTAAGGGCAGAGTGATGAAGAAAGGAACTAAAAGGAAGGCTCTGACTCCCAGCCCTCTCATCCCAACCTAGAGCTCCCAGGAAGCCCAAATCTTACCTGCCAGTCTGAGTTGAGGGTGAATAGGGAAAGTAAGTTTGGGAAATGGCAAAACAAACAAACAAACAAACAAAAAAGTGAGAAAATATGTAGAGAAGAGATGGGGAAGGTAAGCAAAGAGGCAGGGTTAGGAGCCGGGGTCAGCACCAACCACTTACTTGAAGGCCTTGTAAATGGGCCGAAACCAGCAGACGTAGGAGCAGGGTGTGAAGAGGATGAGCCAGAGAAAGGCGAGGCCAAAGTTGGTGGCTCCCCCACCTCCAATCAGCCATGCGAGACAGCCCACCAGGTTCACCGCCAGCGTGACGCTGTTCACTGCAGACCCAGGAGCACATGCACACACAGAGACATACACCAGACATGAACACAAACACCAGGCCCATGTAGAGATACATGAGCACCCAGACAGATACACACATCCATAACTCAAGACATAACAATCAAACCCATGCAAACAGAGAGATACAGACACACAAATACAATGCATACCACATTTATACATATTCACACCCATCACACACACACATACACACACACATACACACACACACAAGTACAGACTGTAAGAAAGAAGTCTGAGAGCTCAGACCACCCCTCCCCATATCCAGTCCTAGGGAATCTGAGAAACCCAGAGAATAAAGAGTCTCCAGAGCAGGAATCCAGAGCTTCAGCCCAGCAAGCCCCACTGAAGGGCTCCAAAGCCTCAGGGTAGTAGAAATGCACTTTTCCTTTTACAAATGACCTCAGCCCCTGACCCTGCCAGATCCAAGGCATAGGAAACCCACCTTACATCTTCTCTTGCAAGGTAGGGGCACAAAAAGGGGAAAGTAAAAGGCCTTGTGGAAACATCTATTCAAGCCACTGCATAATCTGCCCTGTACTTAATGGGGCAGGCAATAGTGACTGGAATCTCAGTCTTTAATCCATTTTTTAGACAACTATCATGCTACCCACTCAAAGAAGCCTTCCTTCACTACTGTAGCCTCATCTCCCATCCCTCTGATCTCTCACAGACCTGGGTTGCTCTATGGTTCCTCAAGTACAAATCCCAGCCCATCAACCGGCCTAGAAGATCCCTAAGAGCAATACCCAGGCTCCCCCTCCTCAGTGCCCACGTAATTTAGCTGAACCACAGAATCACAGTATCAATGAGTCACAGCCAGTCAGGATCTCAAAGACTCCTTCCTTATCTGATGCTGGCATTAACACACATCCAAGTCTCCTGACACAAGGTAATCCCTTCCTGGAACATTAGGCTGGATCCTTACGGCTCTACAAAGACCTGCTGAATAAACAATGGAAGAGGGGCTCACACGGAGCTTCAAATACCCATGCCTCAACCGTACTGGCTTCTGAATAGAGCCCTTAAGCATCTCAAGGGTTATATACATTCTTTGGGAGCAAAGCATCTGGCAGACACCTAGAGAAGACTTAGGAAGATATTTATAGCCCTTAAATCCAGCTCCTAATTGAGATCTTCTCAGGGACAGAATTCTCAGAGCTCAGGGTCGAGTGAAATGCTCCCCAAGTCTGCTCTGACAACACCGACACTCTGCAGGTACACCCATCTTGGGTCCCTCATAATAAGAATGAACATTTCTTCCTATACATTCAGCTGCATTTTCTCCTTTCCTGTTTACTGCCCCCAAATTTCCTGGAACCTTGGTGTGTTTTTTTTTGCTCTTTACATAAACTAGACCTTAACCTGTTTTAATGGTGGTTTACACCTCTTTTCCCAGTCCCATCTCTCTCTCTAGCTCAGTTGGTCTAGTTGCATCTCCTGCTATTATTCTACCAGTTCTTTGGAATTCATATCCATTGACTTGGCTACTTTCTCTCTAGTCATCAACTTTTTTCTATCTCCACTCCTCTCTTTATCTGGCTTAGAGGCCATACTTCTCATTTTCTTATTCCCTCTCTGCCTTGTCATCTGATCACACTCACCCTGGATGAACACAACTCCCATCTGGACCTGAACTGACTGGTACTAAAAAAAAAGGAGACCCCACCCCAAAGGCCTGATAGGACTATAAATTCATGGCAATCAATCTCAAATGGACCCATGCATGGCCAATAAATTTTGAATAGTGTCCCTATCCTGTGTCCACAAACATGCTGTCATTCTAATCCCAGTCTCCTCAAATCTCCTAATCCCACTTCTACATTCTATTTTAATGGGAAAATTCTTTTCAAAACATCTACAGACCTACCCACACCTGCCCTATCCCTTCTTTCTCTCATGTTACATGGGAGGAAATGACCCCAGAGCCACCCAAAGGCTAAGCCAGGACTTGAAACTCAGTTTGTCTGTCCTCATATTCTTTCTACCATTCCATGAAGGACCTGTTGCAAAGACAGTATTCTTTATCACTTTCCTGGCACAATTAATCATCTCCCCTCAGTAAGTGGCTAAGTACAGGCCTGACTCAAGGCAACATCACTTGTGGCAGACCCAGGTTAAGGTCACCCTGCGATGTCTGGCATTCCCTGAGACTGGTACCCAGCATAGGACAGCCAGACTCCTCTCCTTGCACATGCCGAAAGGTACCTGTGACCCAGCCTGAGCACATCCAAGTCTCATCTCCCTAAGATGATACCTTTCCCACCAACCTGCCATAGATCAGAAACTAGGGCCTTTAAATACTTGACCTCAAAGTCTTAGAACATAAGAAGTTCTAAGAGTCCATACAGAGCTCTATCTACGTGGAACCACAGCAATCACTAAGACAACATCCTCTTCTACAATTGAGAAACCTGTTGCCTGGAAAGTATAGCAACCAGCACAGCTTGATCTCCAAGGAAGCAAGAAAAATGAGGCTTAAGGGAGAACCCTCTCTAATCCAGAATCCTGAGGTTCCCTAGAAAACTACTCCAGTGGGAAAGGAAAGGGAGAGTGACAAAGACCCTTGTCCAAAGGGTCTGTGAATGGGAGATGGGGATTGGTGGGAGGAAAGGCCTAGATCTTGGGGTTGAGGAAAACTGAGGCCCATCTGGAGATTGGGCCCTTGAAAGGAGCCTTTTGGGAGAGGGGGTGGGATGGGACGGGGGTGGAGAATTATTGGCCCATGCAGATGCTGCAAGTGGAGCTAAAAAGCCAGCCAGCCTGCAGATACCCCACCCTAGTGCCCCACCTGGATCCCCCATCCATAGCACTCACACATCCAGAGATAGTAGAGGCGCTTGGTCATGCTGAGGTGCTGGGGAGGGATGTCTGCCTCAAAGTCTTGGTAGAAACATGGCTTCAGTGGGATGAATTTGGGCAGTGGTGGGAAGTTGTTCACTCTTTCTGTGGGTAAAGCACATCACATGACATCACCTTGAATGTTCTCCTCCACGACAATTCAATATCATCACGCTTTCCTTGGCCTAGGCTGCCCTGAAGGCCTCTGTGACCACAGGCCACTTTGCTAACCTTTCCAACAATCCATGCCTTCTCCAGGATGTGTAAGGTTCCCAAAGTAACCAAAAGCCTCAATGTAGTATCACTGCCTCTCAGAAGAAAATCAGTAAATGCTGTCAATCAGGGGTTCAGCATTCTCCTCAGCAGGGAGCCATTTCAGGCAGAAGTAGGAAGGGTTAGTCTGGAAATGGGGGTTCTAGCCTCAACTCCAATATTCTGCTCTTGAGCCAGTCAGCACCCCTCTTCAGATCTCAGTTTATCCAGTGGGATGAGTGAGGGTTGAGCTAAATAGTCCCTAAAATTCCCTGCATTCTTGCATTCTGTACCTGAACCTTGGAAAACCAAACAACTCAGAAACCAGAAGGACAAGGTCTCAGAGTAATAGAGAACAATGGCAACAGAGGGGACAAGGGCAGTACCCCTCCATGCCACTCATCAGTCCAATAGCCAATAGGACCAGGGCATTTGATGCTTGATCCCTGTCCCCCAGGGTCTGAGATCTGATAGAGGGCTATACAGTGTCATGTTCAGGGTCACTGATAGACAGACCCAAGTGGGGAACCAGGGGAAACCTGTGGACAAAAGAACAGAAAGAATCTGATATCCAAATACTAGGGAAGATAAGGGGACTAAAAAGAGGTCCAACCACCCTCTGCTTACTTGAATGTTTTACCCACATGGCCTGCCCTCTCCTTACCTGCCATGATGGCACCAGCTGGCCCAGGCTCTTTGTTCTGAACTAGAAGGAAAGAAAAGCCAGAAGGATGAGGATCATGGCCCATCCTAATGAGGTTCTTCTCTCAGCCCCAGCCAAGCTGGTCGCTCCCTGGGGCAGGGCCCTGTTCCCACTATCAGAGTGGGATGAACCCAATGGAGGCATCTCTCACCTCACAGCGCAATCATTCCACCAGCTACCTCCTTCCAGGTATTCCTGCCCTTTGCCACATGGCACGAAGTCTAACCATAGAAAACCCTATCTAATGGTAGGAAAGAAACCTAGAAAGGGGCCATGAAGGGAAAGGCAAGTGACAGAAAGAGCCTAAGAGTAAGAGACTTCTGAAAAAGGAAATTCTACTCCTTGACACTGAACACAGCAGAGCCCTTGGCCTCAGTCATAGGCTGAGCTCCTCTCCCTCCTGCCTTTGCCTTTGGTCATTTGTTCACTTATTGGGATTATAATCTGTCAGGCTCTGGGGGAAAAGCATGAATAAGAAAGATGTAGTCCCTGCCCTTGAATGAAACAGTCAATAACCTCTGCCATAAATAATATAAAAGGGAAGGATGGCTGCTATGAAAACATATACTGCATATATCAAAGTGATCTAACCTGGTCTGGAGAGTCAGAGATTAAATATAATCAGTAAGAGGTGACCTGAAGACCACAGAGGAGTTGCTCAGGGCAGGGCAGCCTTCTGGACAGAGAGGAAAGCTCGCAGAGATCCTGATGCAGGATCTCTCACTTTTAAACAAAGGAAAGAAGGCCAAGGTAGAGTGCAAATGAGGAGTGTGAGGAGTGTGAGGCTGGAAAGATGAGCTGGGTAGGGGGTGATACTTGAGGCCCGTGTGAAGGAGCAAGTGTGAAGGGGCCCTGAGATGGATTTGGGAATTGAGGGGAGAGAGGCCATCAAGATTTCCTGCCAGCCCTCGCCACTTAGGCTCAGCGGATAGAGTATTGGCCTGAGGACTGAAGAGTCCTGGGTCTGATTTTGGTCAAGGATACATACCTTGGTTGCAGGCTCGAACCCTGGCCCTGGTCTGGGCATGTGTGGGAGGCAACCAACCGATGTGTCTCTCTCACATCAATGTTTCTCTCTTTCTATCCCCCTTCCTTCCATTCTCTCTAAATACCAATGGGAAAATATCCTCGAGTGAGGATTAACAAAAAACAAAAAGAAGATTTTCTACCAGCTTCAACACTGGGGGAAGGAGGCCTGTTAACAGAGAGCTGCATCATAGGAGGCAATCCTGGAGAAGATGCAGGATCCTGGGGAAGACAAATAGCTGCCACTGACTTGCCAAGTCCAAGGTGTTGTGAGACCCCAGACAGGCTGCTTTGGAGGCAATGGGGATATTCCAGTTGAAAGTTTCAGCAGGAGGCCTGTACTGAGACATACATAAGGCTAAGGAAGTGAATGAACACTAAAACAGTAATTGGTAGAGCTACATGCACCATCAAAATCAGAAAATGGTCTATGACCAAGCTAAGGCAATGCAACATTTAAAAGTTGGATAGAACCTGACCAGTATGGCTCAGTGATTGAGTGTCGACCTATGAACCAGGAAGTCACAGTTCAACTTCCACATGCCCAAATTGCAAGCTTAATCCCTGGTGTGGGGAGTGCTAAAGGCAATCTATCAATGATTCTCTCTTATCACTGATGTTTCTCTGTCTCTTCCTCTCCCTCCCTCTTTGAAATATATATATATATATTTTTTAAAGTTGGAATCTCTTAATTCAAGTAAGAGATTTCTATAACATTTAAAAACTAACAAAACAAATCTATGGTTTTGGTGCTGATTACAAAGAGGTGTTGGTTTTGTGAAAATTCATCAAATATACAATTACAATTTGTATACTTTCCTATTTGTTTTATTTCAATTAAAAGTTTGCTTTAATTTTTTATTTGTGTGTGTTGTTAATTCTCACCAAAGGACATTTTTCCATTGATTTAGGAAGAGTGGAAGGAGAGGGAAAGACAGAGGAACATCAATGTGAAAGAAGCACATCGATTGGTTGCCTCCTGCAGGAGCCCTAACCCTGACCAGGGCCAGGCTGGGGAAGAGCCCAAAACCAAAACCAGCTAGGGCTAAAAGTTTGTTTTAAAAAAAGAAAAACCCTCCTAGAGCTCCAGTCATATTTCCCTGGATCCAATGAAAAGTTTGGGCAATTATAATCTTTTGTGGCCCCTTTGTGATAAAATCAAATCCTATATAATAAAAGCCTGCCCTAGCCGGCTTGGCTCAGTGGATAAAGCGTCATCCTACAGACTGAAGGGTCCCAGGTTCAATTCTGCCAAGGGCACATGCCTGGGCTGTGGACTCAATCCCCAGTACAGGGTGTGCAGGAGGCAGCTGACCAATGATTCTATCTCATCATTGATGTTTCTCTCTCTCTACTCCTTTCCTCTCTGAATTCAATAAAGAAATATAAATATATTTTTAAATATATATTTTATTGATTTTTTACAAAGAAGAAGGGAGAGGGATAGAGCTAGAAACATCAATGAGAAATACTGACCAGCTGCCTCCTGCACACACACCCCCACCGGGAATGTGCCCACAACCAATGTACATGTCCTTGACCAGAATCGAACCTGGGACCTTTCAGTCCACAGACCAATGCTCTATCCACTGAGCCAAACCGGTTTCGGCAAGAAATATATTTTTAAAAAATAAAAAATAAAAGTCTAAGGTGGGGGCTTGCCTGGGTGGGAATGGATGTGGGGGGTGTTTAACTGGGGGGAAAGGAGACATATGTAAAACTTTAGACAATAAAATAAAATAAATAAAATAAAATAAAATAAAAGCCTAATATGCTAAGTGTCCAGTCATCCAGTTGGCTGTAATATGTTAATGATATGCTAAGGCTGCTCAACTGCTCACTGTGATATGCACTGACCACCAGTGGGCAGTCAACTGGTTGACCAGATGCTATGATCTGCACCAGGGGGCAGATGCTCTGACCCATAGGTTAGCTTGTTGCTGAGGTCTAGCCGATTGGGACTGAGAGAGATGGGCTGAACATGCCCTGGGGCCCTAATACAGTCCCTCCCAGCCCTGATAGTGCACTGGTGGGGTCCCTCAGCCTGGTCTGCGCCTCAAAATCTGGGACCCCTTGGGAGAGCTGGTTTCGGCCAGATGGCAGAATGACCAGGCACTAGGACATGCATTGACAGTCAAGGGGCAGACACTTAACGCAGGAGCTGCACTCAGCCAGAAACCGGGCTCACGACTGGCAAGCACAGGGGAGTGGCGGGAGAGGGTGCAGCAGCACTAAGGATGCCCAACTGAAAGCTCCCAGACTGCAAGAGGGTGCAGGCTGAGCTGAGTAACATCCCCCAAGTGCACAAATTTTGTGCACTGGGCCTCTAATACAGATATAAAAACCCAAAACATCTACCACAAAAGGGAAAAAAGACAAGCATGACAGGGACCCAATGAAATGATACCCTAACACAGCTGCATTAATTGTAGCATTGTTTGTAAAACCAAAAGATTAGAAACAATCTGCGTTATTAAAGGGGACTGATTAAATAAATGGTACAGTCATACAATAGACTGCTCTGCAATTATTTTTTTTAAAAAATACTGGCCCTAGCCAGTTTGGTTCAGTGGATAAAGCATCAGCCTACAGACTGAAGGATCCCAGGTTCGATTCTGGTCAAGGGCATATGCCCGGGTTATGGGCTCAATGCCCAGTAAGGGACATGTAGGGGCAGCCAATCAATGATTCCCTTTCATCATTGATGTTTCTATATCTCTCTCCCTCCCTCTCCCTTCTTCTCTAAAATCAATAAAAATATATTTTTTAAAAATTATTTTAAAATACTGATATGGAAAGACCTCCACAATTACTACTCATTTAAAAAATGTGAGATGTTGAACAGTCTATATTATATGCTACCATTCACATTAAATAAAAAAAAAAGGGGGGGGGGGGGTGATTGGTCAGGTGGCTCAGTTGGTTAGTGTCATCCTGTACATTGAAAGGATGAGGGTTCAATTTTCAGTCAAGGCACATATCTAGGTTGAGGGTTCGATCCCTGGGGCAAGTATGGGAGACAACCAATCAATGTTTCGTTTTCACATCAATGTTTTTCTCTTTCTCTAACCAATAAACATGTCCTCATGGGAGGATAAATAAATAATTTTTTAAGAAATAAAAAAAACAGCCAAAACCGGTTTGGCTCAGTGGATAGAGCGTTGGCCTGCGGACTGAAAGGTCCCAGGTTCGTTCCGGTCAAAGGCATGTACCTTGGTTGCAGGCACTTTCCAGTGGGGGGTGTGGAGGAGGAAGCTGGTCGGTGATTCTCTCATTGATGTTTCTAACTTTCTATCCCTCTCTCTTCCTCTCTGTAAAAAATCAATAAAATATATTAAATAAATAAATAAATAAATAAATAAATAAACAAAATATAGACAAGTATAAATAGTATGCCAACTTTTATGTAAGAAATAAAGAGAAAGAAGAAAATGCATATTAATTAGCTTATTTTTGCAAAAGAAACATGGGAAGAATAAATCAGAAACAAATGACACGGTAACCTATATAATAGAAGGGCTGGGAGGAGTCATGAAACTTCTCTAGGTAAAGATTTTTACATACTTTTTACATATGTCTTACATATTCAAAATCTTACACCAGAACCAAAACCGGTTTGGCTCAGTGGTACAGCGTCGGTCTGCGGTCTGAAAGGTTCTGAGTTTGATTCCAGTCAAGGGCATGTACATTGGTTGTGGGCACATCCCCGGTAAGGGGTGTGCAAGAGGCAGCTGGTCAATGTTTCTCTCTCATCGACGTTTCTAGCTCTCTATCCCTCTCTCCTCCTCTCTGTAAAAAATCAATAAAAAATATATTAAAAAAAAAATCTTACACCAGAAATAAACCCTAAAGTTGAAATAAACAAAAACAAATGAAGTTGACACAACCATGGAAAAAAAAATTAGCCAAGTAACTTGTCACAGTACTCTGTGTTCTCTCAGA